TGGCGTGGAACAGGGGCCAGCCCAAGCCCAGCAGGAGAAAAGTGCAGGGGAACATGGCCTGAGACCTGCTGGGTGTAAAAAATTTCCATCAGGCAATGCCACACACCAGGGAAAGTTCCCAGCACCAAGCTGCAGAGAGGTCCATGTCCATGTCTCCATCCAGCACAGGGTGGCCCCATCCAGATGATGTCTCAGGCAGGGGCTGTGTTGCAGCAGCCACCCTATTGTGTGCAGGGCGCATTTGGGAAAGCAATAGCCTTGGCAAAAGCCTTTGCAGCCGGACACTGGTTGTAGGCGGTTGGGCTGGGGTGCATCGACCGTTTGACACTAACTCTGCCAACTAGCTGAGCGGGCCCTCAGGACTAGCCTCCTCCTTCCCCTGCCACACTGCCAGGATCAGCCCACATTTTGCAGGGGAGGAGGCAAGTTGCACGGGACCATGAAGAAAAACAGTCTCAACTTACCTCTCATGGCTGCTTCTGCTTTCTTCTCTGCCAAATCCTGAGCCAAGGAAAGAAGTAAAAGCAGCTTCAGCAGATTGTGAAAGCCATAGGGCCATGAAACATATTTTTATATATATATTTAGAGAGAGATTGAGAGAGAGAGAGAGAGATCATGATCATGAGGTGATGTAGAAAGTAAAGAGTACATATAGTCAGTGGTACAGCAGAGAGGTTCATGCATGATTTGAAGGAACGAGATTTGCAGATGTATAGATGGATGTGTGGATTAGTTGGTAGAGGGAGGAAGGAATGGATTTACAGATTGATAGACAGTTTAGATATCCAAATACCATCCTAAGCATCAAAGATGCTTGCTGTGCAGGGACTGACTTGTGAAGATGAATGAAAGACCCATGGACAGAGCAAAGATAGGGTTAGGGAACAAGTCCTAGGTGTAATCCATGTACCCAGTCCCTATGCTGACATAAGGAGATACTCAGGGAGAGTGCAGGGCACCTCCAGAGGGATTGCATCCTCCTCAGGAGCCACTCCACCTCTCACTGCTCAGACACTGGGAGTGTAGGAACAGCAGGGAGCCTGCCCAGGGACAGTGAATCCAAACCCAAATGCTTTAAAAACCCAGTGCTAAGCATTCATCCTGCCATGGCTTTCATCTCAGCAGCACGTGGGATACCTCTGCCTGGGCACTTACTAGAGGGTCCAAGCACACAGTGCACTAGTGACCCCTGAGATCACTCAGGAATCCTTCATCTGCTTCCTTTTCTAGCTTCCACAGGCCTGAAAATTTCTTGGCCGTCATCCCCTGTTTCCGAGAAGAAAGG